CAGGGAAACCGGTTTATTTTCTTATAGTTGGACTTGAGTCCTGGAAATGGGAAGTACAATGCCTGCACTTTAAAGGAGGGGTTTGGGATATTGGCAGTTTGGAGGGATATGTTGTGTATCTTTATACGTATATGCTTCTAAACTGTTGTATTCTGAGCACCTCTGCAAAAGCAGTGATAATGTGTGAGTGTGGTGAAAGTGTTGAATGATGATGAAAGTATTTTCTTTTTGGGGATTTTCTTTCTTTTTTGGGTCACCCTGCCTCGGTGGGAGACGACCAACTTGTTGAAAAAAAAAAAAATTAAGTTTTCGTTACCTGCCCAAGGTTCTGGTCTTTTGGGATTGGTTATACAATATCTTGTGGATAAGAAGCTCATGTCATGATAAGTCTGTCCTTATATTTATCCATGCATTCCTAAACGTGACTTACCAAGCAACATATGACATATGCATTACTAATTAATATGAAAAAAATAGATATTGCTGTTTAATTAATCAACCTAAACTCATAAGTAAGGTGTTCCATTAGAAAATGTTAATATGGTAGTGTTTCTTGACTTTCTTCTTACCCTTATCAACTGCCTAATTGAGTTATTAAAATTGCCACTGATTACTCAAAAATTGATGGCAATAATCTTATTATAGCCTAGGCTACATTTGTATCTGGTTAATTGACTTAAGGCACATGGGAAGTATGATTGCTTGTTGCTATGGTAACATGGTAAGCTTCAGGTTGTTAATGAAATGTATATAGAGTAAAGTGAAGGTTATCATTATCTTTGTAGTTATTGATGTGCATTATTAAATGTATAGCATTGAGGTGAAATTGTAAAACTAATGATTCTACAGTAAAGCATCAGCTATCTAGAATGCTTAGAACCAACCCATGTCCAGACTACTACTTTCTTTCTTTCAACACACTGGCCATATCCCACCGAGGCAGGGTGGCCCAAAAGGAAAAACGAAAGTTTCTCCTTTTACATTTAGTAATATATACAGGAGAAGGGGTTACTAGCCCCTTGCTCCCGGCATTTCAGTTGCCTCTTATAACACGCATGGCTTACGGAGGAAGGATTCTGTTCCACCTCCCCATGGAGATAAGAGAAAATAAACAAGAACAAGAACTAGAAAGAAAACAGAGGAAAACCCAGAGGGGTATGTATGTATATATATGCTTGTACATGTACGTGTAGTGTGACCTAAGTATAAGTAGAAGTAGCAAGACGTACCTGAAATTTTGCATGTTTGTGAGACAGAAAAAAAGGACACCAGCAATCCTACCATCATGTAAAACAATTACAGGCTTTCATTTTACATTCACTTGGCAGGACAGTAGTACCTCCCTGGGTGGTTGCTGTCTACCAACCTACTACCTATATCCAGACTACTTATGATCACTAATTATAGTTTGGTAGGTACAGGAACATAACTGAATTACAAAGCATAAAGAAGTCCATGATATAGTGAAAACAAAAGAAGTTTTGAATGTACAATGAGATACAGTCTCCATTTTCAAAGTACAACATGCTAAGGTAAGCCGAAGTGGTAGCAGGTTCAGACAACTCGCTCTTTCTTAGTCAACTGGTAATTAATAATCTAAGCTTTATATTTTCCAAAGAATTGATTGCCAAACTGCTGATGTTGTACTGTATATGGTTTGCTATGGAAATGTAAATTTGTGAATGGTTAAACTGAAAATTGTTATTATCATTCCAAAAAAAAGTCCAGAGCCATTATGTTGAGTAGTTTTTATTGTAAATTAATTGACTTAAATGAACAAGTAAAATTGCTTGACTTTGTATTTGTACACATGGCAGATTAAGACACTTTCTTGCTTCTTGGTTGTGAATTTTATTTTAGTGTTGCAAGTCTCAAAGCAATTCTGTTTTCTTCTTTATGTTGGTGGATCTTAAATGTTTAATTAATTGGAAAATATCAGATATTTCAAAGTAGCCTTGGATGTGCTCCAGTTACTTGAATTGAGCGCCCTCCACTTGCTTGGTGCCATATAGCCTCTACAGGTTTAGTGCTCCCTATGAATGAAATAATAATAATTAAGAGTAGCTGGACTGAGATTCTTGCTTTATAACAGGCTAGATATTTTTTGCCATATCAGTTTAGTGAGATTTTGAGAGTTTTACTACTCTCACAGCCCAGCTCTGGGCCTAGCTTACCTGGTTGTTGTCTAGTCAACCAGGCTGTTATTGCTCTTAGCCCACTGACCCACATATCTGTCACAGCTGAGATAATGTACTGTACTTCATTATTTTTCTGAGAAGTAGTTTCAAAAGTAGTTCTTAGTCTAGTATGAATTACTGCCTGCCTGATCCACTGTTGGAAGAATGATCCAGTCAAACTGAATTTTTCACTGTGGGCATCTGTGCTAATACAGTGGACCCCCGGTTAACGATATTTTTTCACTCCAGAAGTATGTTCAGGTGCCAGTACTGACCGAATTTGTTCCCATAAGAAATATTGTGAAGTAGATTAGTCCATTTCAGACCCCCAAACATACACATACAAACACACTTACATAAATACACTTACATAATTGGTCGCATTCGGAGGTAATCGTTATGCGGGGGTCCACTGTACTTCTATTATTGTATTGATTAGCTATTTTTGAGATCATGTACAAGTGATTTGATGAAATTTATTGTTACATGAAAACATGCAAAACTTGTGTTTAATCCAAATAAATTGGATTTTGTCTTCAACTTGATAACAGTAAATAAAGTTGCTAACTGAGGACATTATTTGAAATATTTAGTGAATTATTGTATTTATATAATTTTTCGTCCAGCCTAAATTTTTGTAATACTGTACTGTACTACAAAGGACTTTAGAATTAACAGAATGCTATGAGTCAGTGCTAAGGGTTGTATGTCTATGAACTGAGGGATCTCCCCAACAATAAGTCGAGCAGTTCATAAGAGGATAAAATGTTATGGGTATCTTATCAGTGCTTGTCATTATAGTCATGATGAGCTAGTGCTGGGTTGAATGCCAACCTAGGTATAGCCTGAGTGACTGCAACTTGTCCTCCAACATAAACAAGTGTGATTTCCAACATTTAACTGACGACAGTGTCTCTTCTGCTGCCAGATATAATTTGTCCTTTTGTGTAAATTTGCTCATTTCTTTTTACTGTGCAAATATAAGTTAATCTAGAATAGCTAATATTTAATTTTGATATTAGTTTAGGTTAATCTAGAACTAATATGCTATTTTTGTCTCTGTTTAGACTGGAAAAGTTGTCACTGTAATGGACTGGAAAATGCAATTGTTTTGAGGGTGGGTCGGTGAGCGAGTTGCTATGGCATGGAAACAGATGTGTAGGTAAGATTAAGATTGCCTTAATAAACTTTTACCTGTCTCTTTCCAAGTAGAAAGAGACAGATAAAAGTAGAAAAGTGCAAATATGGGAAATAAGTGGTTATCAGAATATAGTAGAAACCAAATGAGGCCACACTGTGTACTGTATGAAAGATAAGATCCGAGGGTAGGGAACAGAGGTGCTCCCTTAAATAACTGAAGCCAGATAATCTATCGTGGAATAATTTGGTAAAATGGTCATCTTCTTAAAAAAATACACAAATATAATTTATTGATCCCTATTTCATGTTGATTAGTGGACTTGTAACCCTAACCTGTATATCATACCTGGCCTAATTAACCATAATTGTATGTGTCAAGAAAATCATGCATTACTGAACTTTCCACTGTCACTGCTGTGGATGAATTAAGTGAGAAGTGAATGCTCGTTTCATTAACATTTTAAGCTCGTTTCATTAATTTCATTTGCTTAATTTATTTTACGATTAATGGATACAAAGAGGAGAGCTGATCCTATTCATTGGAAGTATTATAAGTGGAGAAATTTAGTTTGTAAGAAAATAATTGACACTCTTTTGGTTTTTTGCATTGACTACTGTTATTAATAGATATAGGAATTTGCTTTTTCAAATTAAAATTTAATTTAATCTTTGGAATTGCAGTAATAGGTGGAGAGGAATTAACAATGTAGAGGCACTGTACTTTTTAGGCAAAATGTGGGTTGGTATACCAAAATGAATATGTCGTGTGTGGCTATATAAACAGGTGTGTTTTTATTGTTCATGCAGGATACAAAGGCAAATTTCCAGCAGGTGCAGAGCAAACTTATATTGTGGCAGTAGGTTGCTCTTGATTAAGCTCTACATAGAGCAAAATGTTGTGACAATAGAAATTTGTTCTGCACATGTCTTTTCTTTAATACAGGTGCAGCTTGTGCAACACACTGATTCATACTGCAAGTCCTACAGCAGCACAAAAAATTAAAGACCTTTGAAGTGCTTGTTTTTTATGATGCAGAAACTTCAGTCTTGCTGTCATGCTCTGAACACTGAAATTAATAATCTTTTCTTGAACAGTCGTCATTTTCTTTTCTTTAATATAGAGTTAATATATTTAAAAAATTAATCATTTTCAACTCAAAACATTAGCACCTCAAAGTACTGTATTTATTCATTATAAAAATTAAATCTATAATCATGATATATGGAATGCAGTTTTATTTTTATTTTTTTTTGTAGATTTACGAGCTGTGTTCTGTATTATCTTTTGTGGGATACCATTATATTCTCCCAACTACAAGTATTTATGTGAACTTGGATGACTTTATATTTGCATAATGGCAATGGAGTAGGCTATAAGAGCCTAAAGGAGTCTTAAAGAAGAAAGTGATTCATATTTTATATCAGTCCAGTAAATGAGACAGGATATTTTACATTACATCATTCATCATCATCATTATTGCCCCACTTTACACTAGAGTGGGAAGGCAGTTTAATTTTGTAATTTAATATTTTAAGTATTGTACAGTATTTCATAGTATTTATTCCACTAATGTGTAATGCAAGGGAATTATTTTACATAAAAAACTTAATTTGTTCATTAAAATACTTAATGTTAGAAGATTTAAGCTAATTTTTTCCTTTTTACCTTTTTTTTTTTATCAGATGTGACCAGCTGCAGAAGTTATGTGATTTGATATTTAGTGAAGACCTAGATCAAGAAGAAGTAAATAATTTGACAACTTGCCTTTGTCACCTTCTGGCAGATGACTTAACACCAGGTACCTCTCTCTTGCCTCAGGATATTTCAGCCGAGTAAGTTCTAACCTTTTTCTCACATTTAACCCAGACTGGGTGAAACATAAGTCAACAAATTAATTTTGTAACATTTAGTAAGAAAGTACAAACTACCCTCAACTGTGTAAAAATAATTAGCTCAAGAAGAAAAATATTCTTGTTCTATTCATTGTCTGAGAATGTTTTAAAGAAAAATATTTTGAATCCTAAAATTAAAGAGGTAAGTTTTTTATTCATGTGGTTTACAGAAAGAATTTCAGAGCATTAATAAGGGGAGTTATAACATTGGAGAAAGTAAGATCTTTCATGAGATACTGAATATTATACAGTCCTATAATGTCTTAAGTGGTTGGCTCTGTAATTTTACCCTTGAGCAAAGAATCAGCCATTTTGCTTTTTGGTAAAAAAAAAAATGGTTTGCTAATGTACATTCTGTTGATTGATACCAAGAATTATTGAATGATGTGGGGAGGAGCTTGAGCTGTGTTTCAAAACATCATTCTATTTCTATCTCATTTATCTTGCAAGGATTACATTATTTGGCAAGTACTGTCAGTATTTATGTTAGTCAGACTTTTGTTTCCTTATTGTCATATTCTTTGTTCTGACTCCAGCTTGCCAATAAATAGAGACTTTCACAGAGGTTCAGGGTCCAACCATTTTGGAGTCTTATTATATTGCTTTGAGGGTTAATTTTTATTTGCCAGAAACTTTTAAGTATCTTTATGAAATGAATTACAAATAATTTCTTTGCTGCTTAATTGATATTTTTCTTGTGAATATTGAAATGCATTTCTTTTTTAAATTTTTTTAAAGGAGAGATAACAATATTGGCAGTTTGGAGGGATATGTTGTGTATCTTTATACGTATATGCTTCTAAACTGTTGTATTCTGAGCACCTCTGCAAAAGCAGTGATAATGTGTGAATGTGGTGAAAGTGTTGAATGATGATGAAAGTATTTTCTTTTTGGGGATTTTCTTTATTTTTTTTGGGTCACCCTGCCTCGGTGGGAGACGACCGACTTGTTGAAAAAAAAAAAAAAATATTTCTGAATGTTTCAGGAGCATTCAAGAAAGCTTGGGGCGTCCCTTGTATGTCCTCTTCGACAACCTCATCACCCTACCAGAGGATGATCATCGGAGACAACCTCTGCTACTACTGTTGGTAGAGATGCACAAGATCACCCTTCATGTTGGTTACCACTTTTTATATTTCCTCAAAGCCTCCAACATAAAGACAGAGAAAGTCCAAGAAAATAATGAGTGTTCCTTCCTTACCTATCGTGACCTGTGCAAGGCTGCAGGACAGAAGGATTTTGCTGGTTTTATCATTAAGGACTTGCGACTCTGTAGTGAAGATGATCCTCGAGTGTTAAGTTGGATTATTCCAGATATATATAACAGTTTCCCCAAACAAACGAGAGGGAATGCAGAATTATTACAGTTGGTGTTAGAACGATTAGACTCCTCACAACTACATGACCTGGTGTGCATGGTACTTCAGGGTTCTTTACAAATGTTTGACAACAGCTCCTTTGCTACAATACTGGGTGAGTATTCAAATTTCCTGAAGTCTTTTTTTTTTTATATATATTACAGTATTTGATAATCACATTACTGTATTACAAATTGTAAGATTTAAAATGGACACAGTAGTGCATGCAGTATCACCTGCAGTTGTTCAGTTTCATGAGTACTATTCATGATGGATATTATTTTTAAAACATTTATGAAGGGATTCAGGGAAACCAGCAGGCCGGACTTAGAGTCCTGGAGATGGGAAGTACAGTGTCTGCATTCTGAGGAGGGGTGGTAATGTAGCAGTTTTATAACTGTAGTGTAAGTGCACCTCTGGAAAGACAGTGATGGAGTGAATGATGATGAAAGTTTTTCTTTTTCGGGCCACCCTGCCTTGGTGGGAGATGGCCGATGTGTTAATAAAAAAAAATTGATTACCTTATATATAGAAGCAGGTTTTTCCTAAATAGTTAGGTAGTCTCATAAAATTACATTACTTTTTATCCACACAAGCAGTTTTTACTTCAATTGTTCTGACTGTTTCTGATATCTACCACATCTGGGCCACAGATGTTAACAGTGTTCTCTTTATATACATATAAACCCATGGTGCCCCCTGCTTTTCACTAGATCTGTTTTATAACTTCTCCCATTATTTCACTAAAGTACGTACATTGTTGTGGTAGTGTGCAGATTTGGGACCAGGTTTTCGAGTATATTCATTGTGTATAAGTGTACATTCCCAGTGTAATACTACTTCAAAATTTATGTTGACAATGAATGTTTTCTGTAGCAAGCCTCATTCATGCTAAGCCAGGAAATGTAACACCATTGTGGATGTCTTATATATAAGCACATAAACTTTAGAAAGTTCACCTGCTTGCCATCAGACTGGTCTCACAGGGATAGGACTTAAGCTGTAAGGAAAGGCTGTCCAAGCTGAATTTCTTGTTACAGAGGGGCAGTGAAAGGTCAGGTCAAATATGATTATGATGTACAAGATACCGGATACAAGATGAACCAAAGGGGCATTAGAAAGAAGTTTTATCAGTGGAATGTTTTAATTAGGCTTTCACACATGAGATGGCATGCCAGACTGCTTGATCTGGTGCACATGTGTGAGGAATGGCATGCCCCACTGCTTGCCAGGTGTTGATGTGAAGAATGGCATGCGATAATGTTTACCAGGTGTTGACATGTGAGGATTGGCATGCCATACTTCTTACCAGGTACCCACATGTTAGGAATGACATGCCATACTGCTTACCAGATACTCACATGTTAGGAATGGCATGCCATACTGTTTACAAGGTGTTGACATGTGAGGAATGGCATGCCACACTGCTTGCCAGGTACTCATGTGAGAAGTAGCATGCTATGGTTCTTACCAGGTACTCACATATGAAAAGTGGCATTTTATATTGCTTACCTGGTGATAGCTTGTGATGAGATGTATGATGTACTGCTTAACCTAAGAACATGACAGTCATAAATTAGAAAGTTGTGCATTACTCTTGTGCTTATTTTTTGGGATGAATTATTTTTGAAATGTTTGGAATGTAACTTAGTGTTTTATTTATTTGCTATTTGCTTTGCATAGTGCATTTTTACTATGCATGCCAAATTTCAAGAATGGAGCCAGTCTGCTCAGTGAGGGGTTTACAATACCATTAATCACTGAATAATACTTTTTTCTTTGTTTACTAATTGTCATCTGCAGTTCTGTATTAACGGTTAGACTGTGAGTTGCAAGTTACAGATTATAACCAATGGACATACATCTGTATGTCCATTAGTTATAATCTCTCTCTCTTCATATTGAAAAACTAAAATATTGCTCTGATTGTAATAATTTTCTTATTAATAACCCAGTAACAATGAAAATTTATTTCCCAAAAATGCAGAGCATAGCATAAGGAAATTTCCAAACAAATATATTAAATTCCATAATATGCACTGAAATTTAGGCAGGGCACAGGTTTAAATAATGCAGCATTTCTGTAAATACAGGATATTTTATCTTACTAACCTTGATGCTGGTGATGGGCTCTTGATCCAAGGAATTGGATATAGCCTTCCTTTCCTACAGGTATAGTCATCCCCATGAATGTAATAATAAAAATATATGTAATTGATTATAAGACTGTATACCCATACAGGTTTAGCACAGGTTTTTAATGTAAAGATAATGATGATAATGATTTTGTTTATAAACTGATTATTGGAATGCATTTTATAGAGAAGAGCTTGCAGTGGGAGACGGTGGAACAGCTATTTCTGTGGCAACTGGCCAAAGCCCATGAGATTCCTGTGGATTGTTGCTTGTCTGTGATGCCCAAGCTCAAGTTTACCTCACATTCTGCCACCGTGACCAACACTCATGGCGAAGCTCTGTCCAACATTCTTATGATGCTCCGGAGAGAATCGTAGGTTTAAAGATAGTTTGGTAGTTTACTGATAGTCTGCATTTCATGTGTACATAACCTGCTTGTTGTGATTTTACCTTCATTTTTTTTTTCTCAAATTTTGTTTTGTAATTGTGGCAATGTGGGAGGTGTTGCAATGTATGTAATAGGTAATAGGTTATTAACCTTTTGAGGGTCCAAGCCGTAGATCTACATCATGAGCTCAGCTCACTCATAAGCTGCGAGTGGTAAATTTAGGCATAAATATGAGAGAGTGCATCACTGTGGTAAGTGTGCACCATATAATACAAATCCTGCAGCACACAGTGCATAATGAGAAAAAAATGCGACTGTTTTTAGGATTAAAACACCGACTTTGCGGTGTATTTTTTGTATGTTTTTTTACAGTTGTATTCGCGGTTTCTTGGTCTCATTTAATAGAATGTTAGATATATTACAGAAACAGATGATTTTTATTGGTTTTAGTACTGAAAATAGCTTGAAATTGAGCTCAAAGTAGTGGAAATGTTCAATTTTTGCCGAAGTTCAAGAGTAAACAAATGACATCTCGCATCCAATACACATCAACTGGTGGGTCTAATATACATTCACAAATGTGCTGATATTATTTATACAGTTATTACAATATTGCATAACAGTAAATCTTCTATTTTTTGGTGTGAATAAAAATTCTTTATGTAAATAAAAAATCAAAATGGAATTCATTTGTAAAGCCTAGAAATGTAACTGATAAACAGAGGAAATATTATTTTAGTGCCAGGAAGGCCTGCGGTGTTTATTCTGGACCCTATTTTGAAATTGGAATATTTTGAACTTTGTGTGAAATTGACCAAATTACTAATTTCTGATCACTTTATTGGGTAGTTGAAATAGTTGATTGAGCACTTACTTGTGCTCATTCAATAAAATAGGGAGTAATACTAGCAAAATAGCTAAGAATTTGGTAGGCTGAAATAATGTAATTGACCTGAAATAGGAGTCAAAGTGGGCAAAATCTCCAGTGCTTAAATATGGCTGACAGTAAAATTTGCATGCAGTTTCGTCAGTTTTCCATGAAATGTCATACTTTTTGTTTTTTTACCTTCAGAAAAAGATTCTCTACCATGTCATAAGAAAAAATAGCAAAATTTTTTTTGAAAATTCTTGGACTCTCAAAGGGTTAAAAGCAGTAAAGTGTTTTTATGCAGATAAGCTCAGGTTAGGGTATGCAGGAGAGAGAGGGGGGGAAATAATTATCCAGTAAAAATAGGCCCTAGACAGGGATATGTTATATCCCCATGGTTATTGAACCTATTTATAGATAGGGTTTTTTAAAGAAGCGAGTACTAGGGTGTTAGGTAGAGGTGGAGGATTAACCCTTAAACGGTCCAAACAGATCGACATTCAAATTCGTAGTGCTACAAAAGTAGATCTACTTTTTTTTACATATTTTCAAATATAACAAAAAAAATGTAGATAAAATTTTTTACACGTTTTCAAATGTAAAACAAAAAAGAAGATCTACATTTTTTTACATACTTTCAGATGTTGAAAAAAACGTATATATACGTTTGGACCATTTAAGGGTTAAAGGTTAACGAATCTGATACAGAGTGGGAATTGTTCAAGTTGCTCTTCACTGATGAGAAGGTTTTTTTGGGAGATTCTGAAGAGAAGTTGCCAAGATTGGTAGATGAATTTAAGAGGGTATGTAAAGGAAGGAAACTAAAGGCAAACATAGGAAAGAACAAGTTGATGAGAATAACAAAATTAGGCAATGAAAGATTGGATATAAGATTGGAGGGAAGGTGTATGGAGATAGTAAAAGTATTCAGACATTTGGATGTAGACTTGTTGGCAAATGGGTTTATAAAGTGAACCAGAGAATAGACTTGGATAAAAAGGTGGGGTATGCTTTGGGGCATCTTTAGAGACAAAGAACTTTTTTCTCCTGTTGCCTACATGGATAGTGTGCCAGAGTACTGTATAGTGGTACAAACACTGTTTAACAGGTGGGATGCATGGGCTTGAAAATGTTACAATAAGGAGGAGACTGAAGGATGTCAGTCTTCCTTGGTGGGAGATGCCCAGTGTGTTTAATTTTTTTTTTTATATTTATTGTTTTAATGGGTAACATGACTACAGTATTCTTTTTTATCTTAACAGTCCATCTGAAATTCTGCTAAGAACGCTACTTCTTCGAGAGTTCAGAGTGGAAGATCCAACAGTAGCCACTATCCTGCAGTACTGGGTTCAGAGGTATGAGGACAAGATGGCTAAGCTCATTAATGATGTAGTCAATAATAAACCACAGCCCTCGCCAAACAAACGAAAACGAAACCAAAGTACAAAAGCCAATGCAGTGCCATTGGATCAAGTGTTGTCACACTTAAACCACTTAAGAACAGCTTGTGGTCAAACGACATTTTTTGCATTAGAAACAATGCAGGATACTCTACAGACTGCCCAAAATCAGTGTAGTGAAACGCAGAAGAAAAAATATGGTGATCTCTTTGCTCTTATTGAGGAGGAGGATGAGGAGGAGCCAGCGCCTGAACCTCAAAGAAAACCTAAGTCTAATAGAGGAAGAAAACCGAAAGGCCGAAAAAAACAGGAATCAGAGAGTGAAGAGGAGAGTAGTGAGGTAAGTGTTGAAATACTGTATTTTGTTTAAAGGAGATAAGAGGAACAGTGTGGTGGGACCAAAACATCTAAAATATATGAGGAAAGAGAGAGAGAGTCAATGCCATGAGAGTGAATGATGTGCACAAGAAAATGTTTAAACTTATTGAAGACCTAAAAATGCAACATTTGAGGCTATAAGATGAAAATTATGCCCTAAAAATCAAACAGTTATCATTAGTTATTGGGCTATCTTCAGGCGGTGAAAAAATCCACACTGAGTTAAAGCAGGGAGTTAGAGCAGGAAGGGTAAAGAGAAAGGAGAGTCTTTCAATGTTTATTATGCTAATTGCCGTAGTGCTAGGAATAAGATGGACGAGTTGAGATTAGTTGCTAGTGTAGGTAACATTGATGTATTTGCCTTAACTGAGACGTGGTTTAATTCAAAAAGTCGGGACATGCCTGCGGAATGTCATATTCAGGGTTTTAAATTGTTCCAAGAAGATAGAAGTATTGGGAGGGGGGGTGGGGTGGCATTGTACGTCCGAGATCGCTTGAACTGTTGCATAAAAACGGGTATTAAGTCTGAAGTAACACATACAGAGTCTGTTTGGATAGAATTTTCAGAGGGGCATGAAAAACTGATTTTAGGAGTGATATACCGTCCCCCTAACTTAGATAGGGACCAAGGGAAACTACTATGGGAGGAAATTGTTAAGGCCACAAGGCACGATAATGTAGTAATTCTAGGAGACTTTAACTTTAGTCATGTTGATTGGAATTTCTTGACTGGGAATTTAGAATCGTACGACTTCTTAGAAGTATTTCAGGATTGTTTTTTGAAGCAGTTTGTGACAGAACCTACAAGGGGAAATAACCTGCTTGACTTAGTTATGGCAAACAATGAATCCCTTGTTAATAATTTAGAAATTTCAGAGGAACTGGGTGCTAGCGACCACAAATCAATTACATTTAGCATTGAATGGAAGTACGATAGTAGCGATAACTCAGTAACAGTCCCAGATTTTCGCTTAGCAGATTACGATGGGCTTAAAGAACACTTATCATCTGTTGACTGGGGTAACGAAGAGAGCTATCAATATGACAGTTTTCTGAACACTATACATGCTGCTCAAAGAGCGTTTATCCCATATAAAGAAATTAGATCAAATAGAAATGACCCAAAATGGATGAATAATAGGCTCAAATATCTACTAGGGCATAAGAAAGGAATTTATAGGCGTATCAAAAGAGGTGAGGGTCATCTTATGAATCAGTATATTGACATTAAGAGGGACATTAAAAAGGGGATAAGAAAAGCTAAAAGGGACTATGAAATTAAAGTTGCTAGGGATTCTAAAACTAACCCAAAAAGTTTTTTCCAGGTCTATAGAACAAAAGTTAGAGATAAGATAGGTCCCCTTAAAAATAACTATGGGCACCTTACTGACAATGAGAATGAAATGTGCTTGATTTTAAATAATTATTTTCTCTCAGTTTTTACACAGGAAGACACTAACAATATTCCAGTAATTAATTTTTACAGTGGGCTAGAAGAAGATAAATTATGTAACATCACAGTCACTAGTGAGATGGTTGTGAGGCAGATAGACAGACTGAAGCAAAATAAGTCGCCGGGTCCTGATGAGGTTTTTTCAAGGGTTCTTAAGGAATGCAAAATGGAACTCTGTGAACCATTAACTAATATTTTTAATTTATCTCTTCAAACAGGTGTAGTGTCTGATATGTGGAAGATGGCTAATGTAACTCCTATTTTTAAAACAGGGGACAAGTCGTTACCGTCAAATTACCGCCCAATAAGCCTGACCTCAATTGTAGGCAAATTACTAGAGTCAATTATAGCTGAGATTATAAGAAGCCATCTCGATAAGCATAGCTTGATTAATGATACTCAGCATGGATTCACAAGAGGCCGGTCTTGTCTAACTAATTTATTAACTTTCTTCAGTAAAGCTTTTGAGGCTGTTGACCACAATAAAGAATTTGATATTATTTACTTAGATTTTAGTAAGGCTTTTGATAGAGTTCCGCACCATAGACTGTTAAAGAAAGTGGCAGCCCATGGCATTGGGGGAAAAGTGCTCTCGTGGATCGAGTCATGGCTCACTGACAGGAAGCAGAGAGTGTCCATAAATGGGGTTAAATCCGAGTGGGGATCTGTAACAAGTGGCGTTCCACAGGGATCAGTCTTGGGCCCGTTGTTGTTTATAATATATATCAATGATCTTGATGAGGGAATTACTAGTGATATGAGCAAATTCGCCGATGACACAAAGATAGGTAGGATAATTGATTCAAACGTAGATGTTAGGGAACTTCAGGAGGACTTAAACAAACTCTATTCTTGGTCAGAAAAGTGGCAGATGCAGTTCAATGTAGATAAGTGCAAGGTTCTGAAGCTTGGGAGTGCCCATAACCCTAGTACTTATAAATTAAATGATGTAGAACTTAGCCATACAGATTGCGAAAAGGACTTGGGGGTTATGGTGAGCAGCAACCTTAAACCAAGACAGCAATGCCTAAGCGTACGTAATAAGGCAAATAGATTACTGGGATTTATATCAAGAAGTGTAAGCAACAGAAGTCCAGAGGTCATACTGCAGCTTTATACATCATTAGTAAGGCCTCACCTTGATTATGCAGCTCAGTTCTGGTCTCCGTATTACAAAATGGACATAAATTCGTTAGAAAACATTCAGCGTAGGATGACTAAATTAATACATAGCATCAGAAATCTTCCTTATGAAGAAAGATTGAAGACTCTTAAGTTACATTCACTTGTTAGACGAAGAATGAGGGGAGACCTGATCGAAGTGTATAAGTGGAAGATAGGTATTAATAAAGGGGATATTAATAAGGTCTTGAGGATGTCTCTCCAAGAGAGAACCCGCAGTAATGGATTTAAATTAGATAAGTTTAGATTTAGAAAGGACATAGGAAAGTATTGGTTTGGAAATAGGGTAGTTGATGAGTGGAACAGTCTACCTAGTTGGGTTATTGAGGCTAGGACTTTGGGTAGTTTCAAATCTAGGTTGGATAAGTACATGAGTGGGAAGGGTTGGATTTGAGTGGGACTTTCACATCAGAGCTTATTTCTTGGGTAGCATTGAAAATTGGGTTGGGTAAATGTTTTGTTAGTGGGATGAATTGTAAAGGACCTGCCTAGTATGGGCCAGCAGGCCTCCTGCAGTGTTCCTCCTTTCTTATGTTCTTATGTTCTTATTACGTCACCTTGCCCGAAAGATGTATGTACAAGTGAAATAGATGTGATTTTGGTCGATTTTCAGACCAGAAGCAGCTTCAAAATAGGGATCATAGTGTCAGAAATATTTGATATTTTGGCTGTTTTTCTGAGGAAGGGTTGGACTTTCCCCTCCCCCTCCCCCCTCATTCTGTTTTATAGGTTTTTACCAGGCTTGCTTTAATTATTGGGATGACCTGAACCATGACCAATCATTCTTTGTTATATTTTATTATTTGAGAAATTGGGTAAAAGTGATTTTTGTGTGGATTCAAAATGGAGGGCAAGTGTTAAATAGGAGAGGCCTGGGGATGTGATTAACCCTTTCGGTGGCTATCATATAGAATTATGTCATTGAGGCCAGGGTCCCTCACGTAGTTCTGTCATGAGCTCAGCTCGCTCAGATAAGCTGTGAGTGGTAAATTTTGCCCAGATAGGAGAGAATAGGTCTGCATGATGAGTGTGCACAGTATAAAAAAAAATCCTGCCCCCCCCACGGTGCATGATGGTGATTTTGAATTGTTTTCTAGAATGGCTTTTATGGTTTTATTGGCTGTTTCTTGCTAATAATTGATAGAATGGAAAACATACTACTGAAATATAGATGATTTTAGTTGGCTTGAAATTGGGCTCAAAGTAGCAGAAATAATTTGATTTTTGCCGACTTTCTTGAGGATAGGTAAAGTCCTCCCACACCCTCCAGTTTGTTTTATGGATTTTTGATAGGTCTGATTCAATTGTTGGGATACCGTAAACCATGACCAATTATTCCTGATTATATTTTATTATACAACCTCTCCTCACTTAGTGATGTACTCATTTACTGATGATTCGGACTAACGACGGGCTTTCTGACCGGTATACATACTTAAATAATGTTTATTAGAGCTGATTTCCTCTATTCTGTTTATTACAATATACAGTACACTACTGTATAAACTTTTAAAAATAAACTAAAAATGCTGTAAATGGTGCAAAGGTGACATTAAAACAATAAATATCAAAGATGGTTAACACAACCTAGGTAGTAGGTTGGTAGACAGCAACCGCCCAGGGAGGTACTACCGTCCTGCCAAGTGATTGTAAAACGAAAGCCTGTAATTGTTTTACATGATGGTAGGATTGCTGGTGTCTTTTTTCTGTCTCATAAACATGGTGACTTTGTCAATGGTCCAAGTCGGACCGAAACGTCGTCGTAAACTTCTCTCTTTTATGTGCGGGTTATTTGTGTATCGTTCCAGTCACGGTATTGTGCCTTTTTTGTTATTTATTGCTACTTCTACTTACACTTAGGTCACACTACACATACATGTACAAGCATATATATACACACCCCTCTGGGTTTTCTGCTATTTTCTTTCTAGTTCTTGTTCTTGTTTATTTCCTCTTATCTCCATGGGGAAGTGGAACAGAATTCTTCCTCCGTAAGCCATGTGTGTTGTAAGAAGCGACTAAAATGCCGGGAGCAAGGAGATAGTAACCCCTTCTCCTGTGTAAATTACTAAATTTGAAAAGAGAAACTTTTGTTTTTCTTTTTGGGCCACCCTGCCTCGGTGGGATACGGCTGGTTTGTTGAAAGAAAAAAGGTTAACACAAATCCATGGTGCTTCATATGTCAGTTTGCGTGCAGCCAGCAGTAACAGCCTGGTTAATCAGACCCTGATCCTCCATGAGGCCTGGTCTCAGACCGGGTTGCAGGGGTGTTGACCCCCGAAATCCTCTCCAGGTATACCTATGCCACTGACCATATATCAGTTATA